TCTAGTTTGACAGCTGTCAGTTAACCTTCATTAGAATGGCGAATATTCGAATTAACAGACTACGAGTGTGAGTAAGACATATCTGTCCGGCATGTAGTGGAAAATGCCAGATCGTGTACGTGAGCGAACCTGAGCCCACGCAGAAGCCCACGCTATTAGTTTTCTGATAGTGGTCTGCACATGTCCCATTTTGACAGCTGTAAATTGACCTTAACTGGGCTTGCCAATATAACTTTAAACGACTGTCAGCCAACTGACAGCTTTGCCCGGCGTAGTTTCGTTTTTATGTTGAATTAGTGTGACATATTATATCAGCTTATATGTAGGGACAAAACGACTGGTCTTTCATCTGAGCCCGCGAGATGGTCATGTAATAATTGTCAGCGAATGTCTGATTTTGACAGCTGTCAATCTAATCGTACTCATACGGATGGCTTACATAACTAAGAGGCTAGTCCAGTTGTGCAAGATCTATTGTGACATTTGACATCTGCTTACATGAAGAGTGTGTACGGGTGGGTGGGCGGGCGGGCGGACGTACGCTACGTCATAACCAAATTTTCTCGGATAGATAGTTTACCAAATTTACTTACCCATGGAGCTCCGCTACAAAGCTTATTTTATTATGTCAACCGTAATAAGCCTCCACCCGGAAAACAAAAGTGAACTCAGAAGTATTATCTGTCTTTTACACATTGAGCCTATTAAATTCGCTTGTAATATTAATACATTGCACTAACTGTAAGTGCCTCAAGTCTTCAGTGATTTAAGAATTTTTTCCTTTATCCTCCTAGTAAAAGGTTGTATTAATGAGTAAAAAAAAAAAGAAAAAACGTGAATCAGGTCGTAAACTCAATTAGACCACGCCAAAGATGTTTTACTTTGGTAACGTAAACGAATGTCAGTCAATAAAAAACAAGTAAATGTCCATATCAAGCTTACAAAAGGCACTGAAAATGAAATGCATGTCTTGCTCGCCCCCCGGATAATCTGATCACTTGGTACCTCTTCTAAATTTGTTTTAGATGCACTAAAGAGCATCTGTGCCAAATTTGGTGCTTTCCTCCAGTCTGCGACGATATTTCCTTCAAACCAATTAAAGCACTATTGCGCAAGCCTCGCGTCCTAAGAGAACATTGAATACGACCGCGTAGCTATTCTTAAATGGAGATGTGTTACGAAATTTATAGTATCAGAAATCAACAATGAGAACTCCCAAGATAACCGCTCAAAATATCAAAACAGGTAGGGATAAAAAGGATGGCTTTAGAGATCCATTTTAGAACAAAAATCAACTACATGAAAAGAAACTTGACGTTTCGATGGCTTCACGTCATCATTATCAAAAGATAAGAAATTAACAAGAGATTCGTGGAAATAAATTTAGAAAAAGAGAGTGGGGAAAGTGCATTTGAACAGTTAAGCATAAAAATGGACAAATAATGGTCTCACCATCGCGCATTGAGCTGATGTTACGAATGAAAAATGACAGATCAACTATTTCTTGAAAATTGTTATTCAGAGCCCTTTAGTTAATCCTTAAAAGCAATTCGCGTAACACTGACTGGATCGTAGATCCCTTCAAACAAGTTTAATAAACTGAGCACGTGGCAGAGGGTCTGAATGGGAGGGGGGGTGGTCCACATGTCGGCTGTCGGTAAAAATTTCATTTATACTTTGTCGGTTGTCGGTAAATCTCGGTTAATGATGAACAAAACAAGCTAATTATTCATATTCGATATTTAATTCACTTAGTCATGTAAACTCTATACATTCAAGTATAAAACTTCTTCATTCATCGTCAACTCATCCTTTTATTTCAATGGAACCTCATTTGAAGTCTGGTTTGTTTGGCTACACGATCGTTTATTTCAACTTTGTTTGTAAAGACCGATAAAATCACCAAACAATTTACTTTGATTTTTTTTTTCATTCTGATGACCATGACTTCCACCATGACGCCTTTACTTAAGTTGTGTGAGTCCGGAGAAGACCAATCCTAGCTAGAATGAGAGGCTAGTGAATGCTACATGTGAAGCACATGATCTCAACTGTGCTCCATGACTGAGCGGAATTTACGCATAAGACGTCGTTTCTTGGCTCCCTCCATACGCTTTTTATCTGCTCGCTTAGCACCCTCGCTGATGAGCCCGCGTCATTTTGATCTGTATTGAGTCATTTCTTTCCAGGTCACAGACAAGCGAAGTAATCATGGGAGAATATGTCGTCGAGTGAGAATAATATGGATCGGATTTCAGTAAAGCTATTTTTAGTGAATGAAGTCTTTTTTCCGAGACGTTCCCGAATACTGATTAATATTAGGCTGATTTAGCAACTGAAAGAAAACGTCGGTTGACGATGGCGCGTGCAAACTAAACAACTGGCTTGATCAATGGCAGAGCGAAAAATTGGGCACTGGAAGTCGTGTTTAGTCCTTTCCGCGCGCTTTCCCGTCGTCATCTGATGTTGTCCTAACTGTGGAACGTTTTAAACTCATTGCTGCCCCCAACTGTAGTCAAATTTGGGAGTTCCACTTTCCAACCATTTTGTTGCTATAGACTTATTCTCAAATTACGGCGCCTTTCACGAACATGCGAACTCTAAAGGTCAAAAGCCGCCTTCACAATTGCGTTTTTCGTTGCCGTCAATCATAATTACGATCACAAGCAACGAACCTTGAAACACAGATTCGCGCAACATGGATCCTAATCCACCAATCACAAATCACAAACCATGACCTTTTGAACCCGTTAACTTAAAGTTTTGTTTCCCAAAAGATCGGTTAAGATGATTGACGGCAGCGAAAAACGCAATCGTCAGTTGGCTTTTGAACTTCAGAATTCGCATGTTTGTGAAAAGCGCAGTAACTCGCAGAGTATTTTGCCACTGAGATGAGCAAAACTAAATTTCATCGATATATATCCTTTCAGTTATCTCCAAGCCCCCTTTATAATTGTTTTTATCTCAAATCAGGTGTACAGCAGCTACTTTTGTAATCCATATTTGCCACCTCTTAACCTTTTAGAAAAAACTTACGATCACTCAAGACTTTCGCTCATGACTTGAGCATGGATTAAGTACACGCAGTGAAAGTACCGCAGCAGTACCCGTACATTTCGTAGGCTCGATTACCACTCGCTGTGCAGGGAATGAGCGCGCGCCTTCCTGGATTTTCCCCGAAAAGGAGGAGAAAAAAGGCGAACCGAATGAGCTTCTAAGCAGGTGCAGGAACAAAATAGACATTCCTCTATGCATGCTAGGAGACAGGCGGAAATCGAACCTATACGATTCGGATTTTATCAAAATTTGACAGAGTAATTAAATGACAGGAATTTCTATCAGTAACGAAACTGGAATTTAGAGTGATTTACCTCTAGTCTGAAATAGAGCTAACTTAAAGACCTTCCCTGTGCTGGAAACAAATCAAGCTGAATACTTTTGACAAAAATATGGCAAGTAAAAACCTAATTTAAATAAAACCGATTTATTTCTAGAAACAAATATCCCTACAATATTGGACCATGCCGGTTGTCGGTTAATTCTTTCCTGTCGGTAGTTGGTAATTTTTCTCTCGTTTAATCGGAAGTCATTTGTATTTTTCGCACGGACGTACGGTGATGTCATAACCAAATTTTCTCGCATCCATAGTTACTATTTCAAATTTGTATTCAGAGAAACATTTGAAATAATTCGCTTGCACACCAGATAATTTGAGCACAAGTTTGTACTTTTTTTACAGGGCAAGTTCGCATTTGGATTCACTCCGCGCTTGTTCCGTTGATTCTGAAATTTCAGAAATTCAACTTGGACCATCTGGGTTATGTTTTTATCCATCTGGATATAGACTGCTGCTCTTTGAACCCGAAAATCCCGCTCGCTCTGATAGTCCTTCAAGTCATCCCGGAAAAACGATTGAGTGAAAACGGAAATCAACGCAACCGTGGTGCATAAATTTACGTGTAACCGCAAGTCACCTTGGTAGAGTTTACCGAAGTAAAAATGTACCGCGGCAAATTTACCACGGGAAAAACCTTTTACCATGGTGTGTGTAACCGCACCTTTTTTTATAAATTTTTGTAAATTTCCACGAATAATTTTAATATTTTATCTTTTGATAATGATGACATGTAGCCATCGAAACGTCAAGTTTCTTTCATATCGCTTAATTTTGTTTTAAAATGGATCCAAAAATCTAGTGTGTGATGTCTAATCATAAATATCATTCTGCAATTGAAGTTCATTCAGGAACATGAACAAAAACGACGGGAAATCATTTAAGTAACAACTTTAATGAATGTGTTATGGTGAAAAATGTACAAGTATGCGAACGGCCTGATGTGGCGATTGTCACAAATTTCA